GACTCAACAGACCAGCGTAGTCTAGCATTCAAGTTGGACTGAACTGCTGGAAATGTGTCAATCGAGTTTCGAGGAGTCTGCTTGGGGGCGTTGTCGCGCCCGTCGGGCCCAGGCCAAAGACGTTGATGCCTCACGTGTCTTAACGACCCACCCTTCCCAGGCCCGCGTCGTTCCCTGAGCAACTTCACTCATCAATGATGAAATCAGCGAGGTACCCAAGACGAAACGTAAGATAGACATTAAGGCTGCTATCAAGATGAAGCAGGCGAAGCTTAACCCTATGGATGCTATCCTTGCGGACCCGCAAAGTTTGCCTCGGGCCCAATCGACGGCAGTGATTCGTCATGAGATCAAGGACACCGACATCGACATGATCTGCTAGGAGCGTCGTGTGAGTCGAAACGTTTGCCAAATTGCGCTTTCGAGTACTGACTTCATGCACAAAAGCTCTCGGCGAAAGAAAACCAGAAGGGATACACCATAAAAAGCCAAAGCTGCGGCCAGGCTGTCCATACTTACTTGGAGAGACACACAATCTTTGATCAACAGCATATAAACAACGACATGCTTCGCACTATAACCCGTCGTGCTTGCGACAAGCTTCACTCCCACCAGGAAGAGGTATTAAGTAACCAGGCCAAAGGCGACGCCGATGTCGCTTACGTCGCAGGCTCTGGCTCGGGCAAATCGATCGCGTTGGTTTATCCGGCGTACGTCTCCCGAAGTGGCACTGCCATTATCTACACGCTGTTCATCGCGCTACGGGACCAAATTGCCTCCCAGTTCAATCAAGCCGGCACCGCGGTCCCGTCATAGGATGGCGCGATGGTGTCTTTGGTCTAGAACATCAAAGTTTGGATGCCACGGGCCCTTTGGGCCAAGAGAATTATCATACTGGAGTCACACAGCATAACTTTGCGACTCGTGGTTTTTGTTTTAACATGAGAGCGCCGCACGGGCAGCGGCCTATTCGAGAATGAACTTGAATCCCTTTCTAATGTATCCGACCCTTTCTAATCAAATTGTCCCGTCCATTGACCTGCACTGCCCATACATTATCCTCTCCGCAGTCATCAGTTGTCAAGGTTCCTTCCATCCTGGATAAACCCAGAATAAGATCGACCATGTCTGACGTCGTGTCGCCTACCCTCTGACTAGAATCGGCACCCGTCCCTCACGAGATGAGGATAGAGGGATTGTAATCAGCGGGGCGAAATTCAGGATAAAGCGTGAAGTAGACATCAAGGCCACCCATAAAGCCGAGAGCAAGGATGATCCGACCACCGGAGAGTCTGCAGCCTGCCTGAAGACGCCATCGAGCATGCCTGGACCAGGCCACAGTAGTTGATGCCTCACGCGTCTTCTCGCCCCTACCGTACGAGCCGCCCGAGGTCTCCTAGACAACGTCACCTCCCACGCGCTATCTTCCGCCAGCCATCGTTTTCTCGCAACCATCCCTTTTCCCACGTTTTCGCGCAAACAGGTATCCATTTACGCGTCGTTTGCGCGACCAACTTTCTTGCTGTTTCCCCTCCACTCTACCACCGCGTCTGATTTCGACAACTCCTGATCCCTCGAGAACCATTCCCTTTATACGCGTCCTGTCCAGATATATTCCATACCAATCATGCCTGACCTTGTATGGTCTCCTTCGACGGTAGACCCGGCGCTCCTCGCGTGCGATACGGGACTAGGAGATGCAGCTTCTCCATACCAGCAGGAAATCCCGAACGGAGACTTCTCTGGGTGAGTTCGCCCAGCCTGATTGCGAGAATCCGAGGGAAGTCCTCTGATGAGATCGTCGACAGCAACAGTACAGAGAGGCATGCGGTCGAGTGCGCCGCTGTACAATGGGCCGAAATTGACAATGAAGCACCCAGCTTCTACACGTACGACCATCCTCGAGAGGGAGGCGTAACAATTCACGACCAGAACTGCCAAGATCTGCAAGACCTATTCGGATTGCACATCTTCAATCCTGTTTGCGCCGTTGAACAGGAGATGATAGACCCAGAGGAGCTTCAAGGCACCCCACAGCGCGAAGATCAGAGGCGTCTTGAGAGCATCGACGCCAAGGGCCCCGAGCCCGCTTTCATGCAAGACGTGAAGGCTCTCCACAGTCCTGAAACCAGCATGGAATGGAAGAAAAGGGCACTTACCGTCATTTTCGGTATGTTGGATCTGTATTATATCGCACCGATCTACCTAGCAAAGATTGATGAACGTGCCAGACAATGTCCTGAAGTACCGCTATCGTGACGGTAATCGCACTTTCCCGCCAGTGGACTTCTACATCCACCTGACGCACAATGAGGAGGACGCCAATGACATACAGCCTCTAGTGCGTCGCTGTGCCGAGTACTTCTACGTGGCATCCCAGAAGGCAGCAGACGACACTATCGGAACGCTTGCGCTCCTGCGACATGCCATTGAGTCTCCAAGCCCTCGGCCCGAATTTGGACCCAAAGTACAGATTGCTGGACCCAATCATATCCAGAGTGGTCAACTTCAGGCCTCAGAGGGGCAGTCAGCTTCGAGTCAGGCCACAAAGACGCCCAAGAAGTCGTCGAGGACGATCAAGACCTCTGCGCGGGTCATCGATCATCATGTTCCTCCATTGATGAGAGAGGTGAACAAGGAATGCTCTTTCAAGTACCGAGGTCTCATTCGGGACTCCAGTCTATTCCTTCAGACTGAGCGAGAATACATGAGAATTCTTCGCCAGGAGTCGAAGAAAACTACCGAAGACCCCACCTGGCCCGCTGACGCTAATCACGATCGGAGATATATCCGGCAGCTTGTGGAGGCAATCGTCGATCTATCCGACTTCGAGGAGAAGCGCGTCGCTCTTGCAAAGAAGCAAGCCCTAGACGAATACGATGCCGCGGAAGGATCTGGTAAGAGGAAGAGGGGGGGCACCGCCCATACGAAGCCTCCCGCGCCGAACAAATCGGAGGCAGTCTACCTCAACCCGGAGAAAACCAATTTCGAGAGATTGGAAGCTGCCGTGGGCCGTAAGCTGTCTGATGTTGAGATCGAAATCCAGGGCTAGAAGCTTTTGGTAGGGTATTCCTCGTATCTGCAGGAAAGGGGTTCTAACCAAGTTTCAGGTATCGGCCATGAACGCTCAGCAGGGCTGGGAGATGCAGCCATTGTGGGCTGGCAGCAGTACTCCAGCTTGGGAGCGGTATGAAACCTTCGCTGACCGTTGGTCCCAATTGTGCTACAATATGAAGGTCAGCCAGGGCCCTGGCAGTTCATCGATACCTAAACTTGAGCAGTGCTGACGTATTCACCTGACAGCATCACAAGATTATGGTTCGCTCAATGTTGAGCACGGAGTGGACTACACGCCTGGCAGGTGCACCCATTGGCGAGCGCAAGGTAAGCATCGCACTTTGCTGAGCCCAGAGCTTCTCTCTAACTGTGGAGTCCAGCTCAAGATGTGCAACAAGTCCGTGAACGCGAAGCGAGACGTCCAGAACAAGGTTGGCAGAGATGTTCTCAACAAAGCGAGCGCCAAGCTGCAGAGTAGCACATTGAAGCAGGGAGAGGGCGACCAGAGCAACTCCTCGGACGGTGCTTAATAACAGAGAAACATTGAAAATGGTTGGAGAAATTGCATCCGATTCGATCCAGCATTCTTTTGGCAGGAGCTGTGTCTACATCATCTATTTGGAAGATGCTGAGAGATTGTTTTGGGTCGCTGTATCCACTAGGCGCCCCAAGTGATTGAACACAATACCGGGTTCGCCAGATGACGCAGCTGCAGGCACCTGGAGCCCTTACTACGGCTCAGTTGTTTAGTATTGGGGTTTTGGTGTGGTGTTTGTCTGATTAGGATTAGGCAAGAACCGCTCTAGATGTACCAAAGTCACACCCCCTGGCCGAGATGATGTTGAAGGCCCCAATTAGAAGAGTGCTTACGTACCTAGGGATGAAGTCCCTGACGGCGAGGTGGACGTCACTCGAGTGAACACCAACCCGCCGTTTCTTTATTTCTAGTTTTCTCAGCAGGAAAAGGGGGCCATGTAAGCCATCCCATAGCTTTACTGCTTGGCGTTGGCGGTTGAGAACTGTGGGCGCATGAAGGGATGGCCGGGGCACCAACCTTCGCTTGATAAAGAATATAAAAGCCTTTTTCATCAATTAAATCCTTTCGAATAACGTCTCGGTATTCATGGACTGTCCTCCCTATCTTGAAGAATTGTTTTATGGAACAGCGTAATTGTCATGGGAAACACTTGATCTGGGACCAGATTAGCCTTCCAATACAAGTGCTACCGATCACTGGCAAGCGGTGTTGTACGAGAACTCGCGTCTTGCAAGTTCGACTATACTCCGAGGAAACGATCCTCTGGGCCAGATCTTGCTGGCCTGGAAAGAGCTTAGGTCATTGATTTACCTCTCAGCCGGCAGGATCTCAACAGCACGAACCCAAGCAGCCTGTGTAAGAACATCAGCGGCTCGTCATCCTGGCGGCGCGTCACGCCGCAATCGCTAATAAAATGTAGAATACAGCTTGAACCTGAGGCAGAAATGGTCGTGGAGTTGCGGATGAATCATGGAAAGCCCAAGCATCGCGCTGACTGGCTTCCCCATGACAAGGACCCTGGGCGACACTGCGCAGAAGCCTTCAAACTGCCGGGCCGGCATACGAAGTGCTCGATCTGGCATGAAAGCACCGCAGCCTAACTGTGATACACCCTTTGCCTCTTGATGTATTCTCGGGAGCCAAGATCAGGGCGCGATGTGGCTGAGCGGTGGTTCCGCCACCCGACACTTCTCGTCTCCCACAGTGCCCGAGACTGTGTTAACACCCACACGTCGTCGCTCAGGGAAACCCCAGCAACCATTCTCCCCTCCTCAACGTCCCAACTTCTTTCCACAACGTGGACTGGGATTGAAATTCTGGTCATCTTTTATACTTAGCCGTCTCAGGTCTTATTTTGAACTCTTCTTGATCATCGCCTCCACACCCCAAGGACATCGCGAGGTCAATGCCGCGGCAGATCAGCCACGAAGTTTTGAATGCATCCTCGCTGGCCGTCCATTTCTCATCGATCCCGGACGAAGGTTATTACAAAGGTGCAGCTCTGAATGGAGTGAATGCCCCAGATTTGTGAGTTTGATGCATGGTTTCGTCCACAATGGCATGCAAAGCCGACTGACGAGTCTGTAGTGGCGAAGGCCTTCTCGCCGACAATTACGTTCACGGGCTCCTCGACTTGGACGACCGCCAGGCTGTAGACGGCCAGGGAGCCTATCAAGACCCGAATATGCCTGAGAGGCTCCACTTATGCCCCCAGTTCTCCTTACCGTTCGCTGATGCGGGCCAAGCTGGCAGAGCCGAAGTGGCACCCGAGCTTACTACCCGAGAGTCGCCCGACTTACCCCTTTTTGACCTACAAGATGGCTCTGATGGTCTTCAAGATCAGAACGGCAGTTGTGCAGAGTTCGAAGCTTTCTCTCGTCGCTTGGAACAGCTGCAGAGCGATCAGACCCCTTTAGAGACGAAAAAGACGATGTTCTCTGTGATTGTCGGTATGTTCGACGCGAGATTGACGCGTACAGTGGACGCCATCTGACATCCATGCAAACAGAGAAAGTCCTCCCATATCGATATGGCGACGGTGCACGTTCTTTCCCCTGCTTGGCGTTCTACGAAACGCTCCTTTACAACGAGGCGAGCCGTGACGTCAAGAAGTTTGGTGCTAAGTGTGCTGCCTGGTTTGGGCAACTGACAGTGGAGGAGGCTGACCGCTACTCGGCCACAATCACTGAATATCACCAATCCCTGCGCTCGGCTGTCTCTACCTGCCAGCAGGAGGTTATGGCGAGCCAGAAGAAGAAGACGCGGAAGTCAGCCAAGACCTCTCGTATCACTGACCATCAGAATCAGTTGCTCAAAACCGAACTTGAGAAACCCTTGACAGTTGGGTACGATGCGCTGATCGACGACCTCGAGGAGGCTTCGATTTTGGATAGAGCGTATTTGCAGCACTTGCGCCAAACCTTCACAGTCCACGTTGAGGATCCATCTTGGCCCTCGACGAAGGAAAAGCGCCGCGCGTATGTGAAGCAGATATGTGAGGCCATTTTCGACATGGGAGACTTCCAGGAGAAGAAGTACGCGCTGGAAAAGTTGGCGAAGCTGGAGGCCAAGCGCGGCATCACTACTGAAGCTGGTGCCAGGGATGAGGCTGGTTCCTCAAGAAAGCGAAAACTGGGCCAAGACATGCCGAAGAAGATCCCAGGGCTTAGCACATTCGATGCTGTGTACGTGGATCCGAGAAGTACTCCAACTCACCTACTCCGAACGGTAACCCGATGTGACATCAAGAACATCGAGGTAGAGCTATTGAGCTAGAAGCTCTTGGTAAGCATAAGTGCTCGTTGTTTGCAACACCTTTGTGCTAACGGACGGTAGCGTACCGCGATGTCTTGCCAGGATGGATGGGAATTGAAGCTTCACTGGAGTGGAGATGGCTGCCCAGGGTGGGAACGGTATGACACCTTTGAGGAGCGATGGGATCAAATCTGCTTCAACATGCGGGTAAGTTGGCTCTTCCCTTTCTTTTCCTTGCTTTCATGCCACTCGGCCTACGCATGCTAACGCCGACTTTCGCAAAGCATCACAAGGTCACAATTCATTCTGCTTTACGCGGAGATTGGTTGAGCAGACTCGCAGCTGGCCCTGTTGGAGAGCGAAAGGTATGTGATTTTCGATTTCTTATTGCTTTACTGTATCTAATCCTTCCAGATGAAACTGGGAAACAAGTCCGTCAATAGCACCCGCGATGTGCAAAATGAGCTCGGTCGCGCGGAGCTGAAGCGTCAGAAGACCGGTGCGAGACCTCAGTCTAAGGCCGATTGAGCCGTGTGAAGACATGACGAGACATTTGCACCTGGCATAACTGATATGAACCGCGTTTCCTTTGGGGCTTCTACGTTGTTAAGGGGCTATGGGGTTGTCTCAGCAAAAGGGTTCTGGTAGCTTTTGACACTACAGTTGCGGGAGTGGCTTTGTCGCCATAGCTCTAATCACAATGATTTGATATACCAGAGCAAATTCACTGGGAAACAAACGAGTATTCAACTGCAATTTCAGGTGACGAGCGTGTCGTACTCAACGGGATACGCGAGGTAGAAATATACGATATGGTTCTTCACGATCTACACCGACGATAGTCATACCAGTAGTTGATAATATCCGTTCTTGAACCCGATCAGATTACTCGCAACATTCTCTTCCTAGGAGGAGATGAGCTGTATTTATCTATGCCTGATAACTATTTAATCAGGAAAACGGATCAAAGCACATTTCCGTTCACTGTTTGTCCTTGCTCGAATAAACGGGCGTTGGATCCACTATGGTTCCTAAAGTATCATCTCCAGTTTGGAAAACATGAAACAAACCATTGTGCACATCTGAATTCCTTGAACGCTATGTTGTTTCTGTCATGGTAGTCGAAACTAATTGACTTTCGAATCGTCAAGAACCAGAGCCTATGGAGGGAGACGCTTGTAAGCCCGAGATTGGATCTCGAAATATTTGCGAAAAGCAAGCTTGAGGGCCAATCGAAATCATTGGACGCGGGTGGCTCCTTATCGCCCACGCCATCATCCCGCCTTCTCACACAGTGCTTCACACCGTGCGCACACCCTCCAACACTCTCGCCTACCCACTGGCACCCACTCTGCCACCTTCCATCTTAACTTCCACATGTCCCCAAACACCAATCTCAATGGCGATTTGCAGCTTCTTGAATTCTTCCTCCCGACACCTGACAGATTACAGTCTCCTCGACGCAAAGCCTCTGGTGAAGGTAGTTTACCCCCTTTCCGAGGTTAAGCTTTGATTGTGTCAAGTCTTCATCCCTTGTCGTCGGCGTCTCCTACTTTAGTCCTCCTAGACTTCTCCATCCTTATTTCCCTCTACGTTGCCACGACGAAAGTCCTGCACGCTAGGAATTCCAATTTGATCATATTGATTGCCATACGCCCCCCTGGCGCGTCATGTTCGACCTTTTCGAGAATATTTCCGCGATGACCCCGGGCTCTTACACGGGTTCGTTCTTGAGTACGCAAGACAACGCTTCAGAGACGCAAGCCGCGAGCGCTGGATATAGCATCGGAAGGACTCCTTCGTGAGCGAAAACACCACGTTCAGAATGAACAGTCATCTAACCTTTGCTCTAGGGCTGATATCCCGAGAGGCAGCGATTCCATCGACGAGGAATAGGATAATCTCGTCCCTGGTAGCGCGGATCTAGGTGAACATGCCGACTGCACACATCGTGAACAAGCCCACGATAACATACAATTCGCGTCAAGAACCTATGGTTCCTGCTTGGACGTCCCTTGTTTCTCCTCGGAGCCAAACTACTACGGTGGCCATGCTGCTGAAGCATTGCCTGCCAGCGGAGTGTTCCAAGATAGCGTGAACAACGCTTTCATCCACGACTTGGAGCTTTTGAAGTCTCCCACCGCTCCGCTAAGCGATAAGAAGCCCATTCTCGACGTTCTCTGCGGTACGCCTGCTTTCGTAGTGCTCGTTGGGATGGCAGGCTGACGAGTCGCCAGACAAGGTGTTTCCCTTTCGACTCCATGACGGCGATCGGAGATTTCCACCGATGGAGTTTTACTCCTACTTGCTATATAACTCGCCGAATCGGGATTTTGAGTGGCCTCTCGCATTCCGTTGCGTGACCTACTTTCATCAGTCGTCCGCAGCTACAGTGGACAACGTCATCCAGGATCTCGTCAGCTCCAGAGCTGTTATTGTGGCATCAGGTGTGCTCACCGAATCTTTTGGTCAGACCAAGCCTCCTCAGAAGCAAAAACGCATTCGAAGTGGCTCGGCCATGATAAATCACGCAGTCGTGAACAACGACGAGCCTCAAGAGCTTCTTGCGCCTCCTGCGAAGTGGGCCAGGGCAATTTCAATTGTCACAGGGGTTCCTGTCGACTACAAACAATTGATTGCTACCGAACTTGACAAACCTTGCTCGTTCACTTACCGAAAGCTTATCACTAGCATAGATCATTCCACAGACGTCGAGAAGGCCTACTACCACCATATTCGTAAAGATGCACCCAATATCGCCAATGATCACACTTGGCCAGACACCCAAGACAAAATGTTCACGTACATTCAGCAGGCAGTCGAGGCCATCTTGGACACGTCCAACTTCCACGAGAAGGACATTGCTCTAGAGAAAGCACGGGCTTGGGAAGCTTATGAGGTCACACAAAGAGCTGCCGAGGACGAAATGAACACATTGTCAGCACAAGCGACCCTTAAAAGGAAGAGACAGATCGACGTTCCCAAGAAGCCCTCTCCAATGACGAAGCTCGAGATGACTTACGCCGATCCGAGAAGCAGCCCTTCGAAGCTTCTTCATGCTGCAGTGCACCACGAATTGAGGGACATTGAGGTCGAGGTTATTGGCTAGGAGCTAATGGTAAGTTGCGCTTCGTTTTGAATGGCGTAGCAATCTTGCTGACTAGTGTTTAATAGCGTTCGGCCATGAGTGTCCAGACTGGGAAAACGATGAAGCCATACTGGGCAAGCAGCGGCACTCCTAAATGGGAGCGATACCCATCATTCGCATCTCGTTGGGATGCTGTCTGCCACAACCTTCGAGTAAGTCTTTTCGCTCAGTCCTAATGTCGGGTTCGTAGTTGCTGATCAATCTTTGCTCTCAGCATCACAAGGTCACTGTTCACTCTTTGCTGCGCCAGAGCTGGGGCGATCGATTGACGGCTTCTCCAGCTGGCGAAAGAAAGGTAAGACATTCTCCATCATTTGATAGCTTTATTCAAGTTGAACATGCTGACCGTGATTCCGCGATAGCTTAAGCTTGGGAACAAGGCCATTAATGCTAAGCGCGATGTACAGAATCGCGCTGGTCGCGAGACCCTTCGCCGTGAGGAGCAAGCCTTTTAGGCAAGCAAGACAGACATTGGAAAGGAAAGATGGCGTCTGATGGGAACAGGTTGGTTGCCACGGCTCAGAAAGATACCATGGAGGCCAAAAGGTTGATAACTTGGACTGGCTTGGTCGCGACAGCCGCTGATTAGGCCTCCATAAACTTGGAAAAAGGCGCCTTCGTAAGGACCATTCATTAATTATTGCCACTACTATGAAGCCTTGCGAACGAACCGTAATTTGGTTTGCATGTAAAGCACCGGTAAGGATTCACCGTCTCACAGAGGGCAGTCAGCCTTGTGTGTTGGGCCCGTGAACTCGTAAATAATTCGATCGTGGATCTTGATCAGGTCGTTGTCCTTGTCTCCAACACGCATATCTATGTCTTAATTTCTTCTGATATAATCATATTTTGCTCACAGACTTCGTGCCCGTCGTCGGTCACAGACGCCGCTTCAATAGTCCGATGCGGGCGACGAAAAAGGGCCCTTGAAAGCCAATCGACCTCCTGACGGGCCGTCTCCAGTGCCTACCGTGAACAAAGTCGCAATATGCCAATTAACTACTTATAAATGGTCTTCTGGGAGTTGTAGAAGTGGTCTCAAAGTGGTGCGACGCTGCTTGTGGTGGAAGTTCTCTCGACAGTGATATTCAGAGTGCCGCAACGAGGCACCAGGGGTTGGCTTTTGCATCGTGACCTGCTGCCATCATTCGATTTGAGGACAGCACCTAAGTAAGCTGCCATGATGAGCTGCGTGCACATATTTACTATCTGAGTGTATTTGTTTACCCGTTACGGGGGCAGGGCGCGACGTCCGGCACTGATCTCACACAGTGCCTGAGGGCTCATCCCGACTACTGATTGTCTCCACACCCTCCCCAGCAACGACTGACAGCCCGACTACTTACACACTCCTGAGTACCTCTCCCACCTTCCTCACTTCAAACTATTTCTCTGATCGCACAAAATTTTCACTTTTACTCCCAAGTTCACACCCCTCGGCGTACTTTATCTTAGTCTCTATCCTCTCCATCAAGTTCTTTTCAGATTCCGTACAGAAGGCCTGCACTTCCGATTAAGCTCCCCGACTTGTATTACCTCAACGCCCACGAGGATTGGCAGCCTAAGATGCCCTCCAAACTAGAGCCAGGTCTCCTTCCTGCGACGGGTCTGGATCACGAGGCCGATCTTAACTGGCTACAGCCTTGGGATCTCCCGAATCTTGGCGTCACAGAGATTGATTCTCTCCTTCTTGATGTGGCGCAGATCGAGTAAGAGACTCCAATCTCTATCCATCGCGCCGTTCAATAGCTGACGCGTCTACAGTGAGCAGACGGCTTGGCACGCCGACGAGGTACAGACGTTCTTCGATCTGGACGCCTGCGCGACTGCAGGAGACGCGTCAACGGGCGACCAAAACAACGCGCTCGGAGTTCGAGGCTCTCAGCTATGCCCGACGCCAGATCAAACTGCCCCAGGCGGTTCTCTGTCGACCTCGGCTAGCCCCGAAGACTGGTCTGTCGGTGGCTCTGAGGACACTCTCTCCGTTGAACCCGAGGCAGACAGCGAACGCAGCTTCGGCGCGGTCAACGGCGAGGAAGACCCATTCTTCGACTATCTAGACCACATCATCGGCGATGATACTCCCCTGGAGGTCAAGAAGACTCTGATCGGAACGATCGTTGGTATGTGGTCATCGCACCTATGGGGAAAAGGCCTTCCTCTCTGACATGTCCCCAGATAAAGTGATTCCGTACCGTTTTAACGACGGTTCCCGAGCTTTCCCTCCCGTAGCGTTTTACGACATGCTGCTTCATAACGAGGCAGACTTAGACATCAAGTACATGGGTAGGGATGCCGCAATCTGGTTTGGCAAGATGTCGACCGACATTGCCGACCACTTTGTCGGGGTGATCATGGAACAATACAAGATAATCAAGGCGGCCACTCCTTCGAGCCCTCAGCAGCCGGAAAGTCGCAAACAAAGCAAGCGCACTGGCAAGGCCAGCCGTCTGACCGATCACCAAGACCCGCTGCTCAAGGCTGAGCTTCAGACCCCTCTGACCTTGGCTTACCGCGGTATCGTTGACAGTGCGGATCAGGCGGTGGCTTTGGGGAAGGCGTACGAACGTGTCTTCCGCCAGGAGTCGCCGAGCCGTGAAAACGATCCTAGTTGGCCCACCACCGAGGACAGGCGTAGAGAGTACATTCAGAAGATGCACGACGCGATTGTCGATACGAGCTGCTTTCAAGAGAAAGCCGACGCACTTCGCAAGAAGGCGCAGTTGGATGCGAAGCATATTGAAGACGAAAACAAAAATGACCCGGGCCCATCATCGAAGCGGAAGCGCGGACAAGACGCTCCCAAGAAGATTCCTGGGCTTTCCCATGCCGACGCTGTCTATGTGGACCCCAGCAGTAGCCCAGCAGACATCCTTCGCGCAGCTGCTCGTTGCAACCTCACGAACATTGAGGTGGAACTCTTGAGCTAGAAGCTCTTGGTGAGTGCGGATGATAACAAGCGGGTGGCAGTGGCTAACTTCAGCAGATTTCCGCGATGGACATCCAAGAAGGTTGGGAGCTCAAGCTCCGCTGGACAGGAGAGAGCTGCCCCATGTGGGAGGCATACGGAACCTTCGCTGATCGCTGGGAGCAGATGTGTTACAACATGAAAGTAAGTACACTGGCAGCATTTCGCCGGCTTATTCGTTTCATAATACGGAGAGGAGACTGACCGATGACGTCAACAGCACCACAAAGTCATGTTGCACTCTGCTCTGAGGGGCGAATGGACTCATAGGCTGGCCGCTGGTCCTGTCGCTGAGCGCAAGGCAAGTTGCAATCACACGAACTCTAGGTCCATTTACTGACTGCTTGTCCAGCTGAAAGTAAGTAACAAGCAGCTGAACAACACCAGAGACATTCAGAATCAGGCTGGCCGAGAGACTATCAAGCGAAGAAAGCTTGAGGAGGAAGCCTCTGGCTGCGTTGGAGCATAAGAAACATCTAGGAGCACTAGACGCAGAAATATCGGTTTGGCTTTTTTGGTTGAAGAGCGGCATCGGAGTGACTATGGTGGCGGTATTTCGTATGACTGTTCTTGGCCGGTAGTCTTTGCTGCGCCGTTGGGCTGGAAGTGGACAGAAGCAATCGGGCCCTCGATATTTGGCTCGACAATGCCCCAGCACTAGACCCAATGGGTCAACGAGGATAAGTTTTCAGATGGGAAGGTCCGATGGATACTGCGTATGCTTGGATTGGTTGCTTGGCGCAACTCGATAATTGAGGAGGTAGATTGATTGACTATAGACATGGAAGAGGCAAGACCGGTGCGAATTGCAAGTAGCACTAGAGCCTTGGTAATGGGAGCAATTCGTACAGAAGAATAACATCAATAGCTTTGGGCATCAATGCGCATCAAATTCATTACCTGGCTACTACGTATCCAACAAGAACACCGCAGAATTAGAAAACGAGACCCTTGGTTTGAGTCATCTTCTTGAGGTTGTAGTTCTTGATCATGAAAATGGCCACAAATCCAAATATCATGACTGACGTGCCAGCAGCCAGCATTCTTGTCTGCGCATATCCGTACGCGTTTTGAATCGCGATGCGCTCATCGCTGCCGACGGGATAGCTCAATTGCGTGTCGAGGTCCCCGTAAATGTCAGCCACACTGTCCAATGCAGACGCAGGGAGGTAACGCTCCAAGGCACTCTCAAAGGTGTCTGTCCAGATTGCGGCCGAAACCGTGTTACCCACGGAGCCACCAATGTTGCCGCACACACTTAGCAAAGCAAGGGCGGCTGCAACGTGCTGGTGGTCAACAGCAGCGAGGATGGCAACTTGCATGCACAGGATAAACACGCTTCCGCCGATGGAGGTGAAGATCTGGCACATGACGAGGTATCCAACGCTCTGGCCAGGTCGGCGGAAGTAAATCATTAGACCCTGGCCGAAGGTGTAGAGCGGAACCGCGACGAAGAGGAGCCACCTGAAGCGGCCAGTCTTGGAAATGGAGAAGCCGACGATGAAGAGCAGGACGCCTGAGACGACATCGAAAGTGTTGCTGATGTACCCTGCCTCTGAAACAGAGACATCGTTCACAACCTGGAGGAAGGAGGTGAAGTAGCTGTTCCAGCAGTAGTAAGCGACCTGGTAGGTTATGTCGAGAACGCAGGCACCCATGACTGTTCGATCGGCGAAGAATTTGAACTTCAAGAAGGGCACCGGGGCGAGGAAAAGCTCGTTGAGAAGGAAGAGTCCAAGAACGACGAAGCCCGTGACGATCATCGCAATGATGTACCCGGAAGACCAGCCATCAGGCGCAGTGCTGGCAAGAGAGAACGGGAGGAGGAAGGTGACGAGACCGCATGCGAACAGAACGACCCCAAGAACTACAAAGTGGTAGGTTAGTCCGGTGTAGCACTGACGCGTAATTCCTTGATACATACCATCAAATTCCACAAGCGCCCACCAGACGTTCTGCAGGAACGATCGGCCACTCGGTTCACGGACCAAGACACCTCTTTTCTTGGCCTTGTGGATGTTCCACTTGAGAATGCCATACAGAGGCGCAGCAACGACAGGCAAAACGATGGAGAAGCAGCCAAAGCCCCACCGCCAGTTGACGTTATCAAGAAAGCCCTCGGCGGACTTGGGTCCTGCGAAGGCAGTGATGATGTAAGGCGACGAGGTGAAGGCAAAGGCCAAACCTCGGTTCTTCAGGTTCGTAGAGTCGGCCGTGATGACATCAATGCTGTAGGTAAGGCCGGACCAGCCAAGTTGCCAGAACACCTGAGCTCAGGTCAGCATCATCGTGGAGCAACTTTCGACGGCTGACTCTTACGGTAGCTGCGCAGTAGGTAGCCAGATTCTGACTGCCAGCCAGCAGAATCATTCCGAGAGTAGCGAAGATGACCATGAGGAGGAAGCCTTCAGCTCTGCCCCAAAGATCCAAGATCTTGGCCAAAGGTATGTATACCGAGGCCGTCATTGCGCTTGAAACGATATCGATAACAGGGAGCAGAGAGTGCGACTCGAAATCGCTGGCTGCATACGGCGTCAAGCTATACAGGACCGAGCTCTGGAATCCGTTGGTAAGGTAGAGCAACCACATGCTAGATTTGTGTTAGATCGTCGCCCAGATGAGAACAAGGGTGTGCCAAGATTCCTACAAGATGAAAATGGCAACCAGCGACTCTTTGCCCCAGGTCAGAGACAAAGCTTGCGCCAGCTTGACACCATGCTGCACATTCTCGCTGGGGAGATCTTCAACGATCTTTTCGTCAGGGATATCAGCGGCTTCCCTAACAGCGGCGTCGTCCACTGGTTCGGGAGCAGCGACAATCTCGTCTTCGGTATTGGCAGGCTTGCGGCCGAGGGCCTCTTGGAGTTTCGAAAACACTGCCATTGTTGCGCGGAGGGACGGCGGACAGAGAACAACAGACCATGTGTCTCACAGGGAGGCAAGTCAGATATAGGTGAGCGGCAGGCAGACGAAGAACTTTTGCGCCACCGTCTCTCAACCCACCTCGGGACGCCAACAATGCATCTTGAGCCTAGCGCTTTACGTAAAGGCCCGTCGACCCACGCGCATTCCTTCAACACCACGAATGATGAGGGGACGCCATCCGAACATCGCGGTCGAGAAGCACCGAAATCGTCTAGTGCTTGGCGCGACCCGAGGACACGGGAAGGGAAGACGATCCTTCGGGTCGGGTAGGGGCCCTTTTGCGGGTCCTGAACATGCTTGGCGATGCCTCCGATGCCGGGTTCCCGACTTCAGAAGGGTGGATGGTGGGAGCATCGTGAAGCGAGCACCAATCAGAGGAGATGGCATCATCTGATTAGATTGATTGATAAGGGATAGTGAACGCGCAGACTCTGACACGCGTTGCCAATCTTGGTATCGCGGCCGGGAAGACTACCACGTTTGCAGTTAGCTTGGGGCGCGACTGAGCACTTTCTTTGGTCTGGATGTCTTGATGGAAAGCTTTTTGCGCTATTGGATTCCATTTCGCGTCGAGCCGACCTATTGAGCGGGTTTCTGTCTCCATAAATGTTCGCTAAACATGCTGGCTGCGGACGTATGATTCGTGGACGCTGCCGGACTTTGGGCTGGGAATAGGCTTCGTATGGTGCTGGGTGGTGCTGGGGACGCAAGACAAGCTTCCGGAGCAGTGTTCCGACTTGCATGATATGAAGTCCCCGCGGAAGTGCTGCATGTCAAAGGCACGACAGTCTTGGCCATCAGCCCTACACAACATGAATATTGCGCGACTTCATGGGATTGGCCTACAAAGGATGAGATGCGGTTGTGGAAGAACCCATGCCAGCGTTTGGAACCAGCCCGTGAGCCAGCCTCTCGGCGCATGCGAGTTAAGGTAACGGAGTGAAACAACACCCAAAGCTACTGGATGCGAAAGCAAAGAAAGCAATCATGGAATTGGCCACAACGTGCGTCCTATGTGGGAGCTAGTACTAGTCTGTCGTTGTGCGCCATTTTACATGTTTACCACCTTCAGACGGATGTTCTCGTCGACTAAAACCATTTGGGACGGCTCAACCAGGTCCCACTCATCTTGATTGAGGGTGCTGGGCTCGCTGGCCACGATGGCATGGCGGCCATGATCACCCTTCGCATAGAGACCACTCTCTTCGTCAAGACTACCATCACCCTTGGTGTCGTCCGGATGCCCAGTATACTTCCTGTTCATTGTGGACCCTGCCTTCATAGAGTAGTATAGACTCGGAGCCTCTACACCGGCTGGACTGGCGTATCTCAGAGCGACCATCTCAGAGCCCGAGTTGATGACAAGATTCAGAGTGTTTTCGACTTTCAAGGTGGCAGCAAACTCTTTCTGCATATTCTCGACCATGACGATTGTTTTCCTCATCGCTTCCGCCAACTGAGGAACGCCATACAGTGACGTCCAGTCCCCCTCTTCTCCGCACAGCATGAACATGTACAGGGCACCAAGATGCTCAGCATCCGTGGTGCCAAGAATGGCCGTTTGGTACCTAAGTGGGAGATACTGCAGCAGTGGTGTCCTGATCGAGGCGAAAGCGCCTACAATGCCGTTGTGCGCGAAGAGATGCCGTCCGAAGGTGAACGGGTGGCAGTTGGTCTGCACCACGGGCGTGAGCCCAGGTGCAGCTCGGACGTGGGCAATGATCGCTGTCGTGCTGGTGCCGCGGGCAATACTCTGGAGAACGAGATCGTTCATGGGCGGACGGATGTTGGTGTACACGATAGGCCGGAGTAACTCTTTCCCACGGCCGTGTTCTCCTGTCGCGAACTCTCGCTCGACGGTTGAGAACCATCCTACTCCAAATCCATCCATATTACTGAACGCGTTCGGAGAACCGGTGTCACTGGCAGCGGACACGGCCATGGACTTTTGTGGGTCAAATGAAGTATGACCGGATGGCAAGAAGTGCTCATCGACTGATCTTGTTAACATATTTTCCGGCCCTCAGTCTGAAAGCTGATCTCACCTTGCTTCACAACGGCATGACGGGGTCTGAGGATTAGGTCCTCGAGGAGCTGAGGCTCATCTCCCAAATACGCGAACCAGCGGCACATGTTGACATTCGACGAGGCTCGTCGCTTGATAGATCAAGTAATTCGAAAGAGTCTTTGTTGTTGTGTATTCGATTACAATCGGAGATTGTGCTGCTATTGCATCGGGAAACTGAGAGTAGTCCCCAGACCGCCCCTCTCTCCCATATGTCATTCACGCTCGGGCTTGAGGCTTGTCTCACTAGCCATGCGAGGAGACGCTGACGTCACGCACGTTAAAGTTCGAGTACCGCCCTTCACTTACTCACATTGATCTGACTCCAGATTTCCATCATTCAGCGTCGGTCGGTGTCGGTCGACTTTGTCCCAGAATACGAATGATCGAAAGACGGCGTATTGGGAGCTGCAATTTCATCAGGTGGTAGTGCAAGAAACCTATGGGGGGACGAATCGGTTTGCGACGTTTCCAGGGCAATGGGCAGGGCTTATAGCCAAGCGACGAGATGAGATGGAATTGAAAGGAAATCCAGTTGTAAGAACGACAATTGTCGTTTCTTGCAGGCGGACTATGATGGCTTCTCGCGACGCATGCTGACTCTGGCCCCGCCCCGGCCCGGAACTCTGATCCTTCCGATACACGACGGGGCCGAAGCTTTGACAGCTGGGAATGCCCGCGTCGCGCTTAGCGACCGTACTTTGAAGGATTCCAAGACGCTTAAACAGAGAAAGACAAACACCTTGGGGTATTGCGGCGGCTAAGCGCCAACCTCGCCCCCAGGTTGCAAACTGTTGGCCTGCGGACAACATCCGATGCTGACTGACCGGGACCACCCGCTAAGGGCAGCCACAAAGGCTTAGCTAAGGGCCGGAGCCTGTTGTCATGGTGGTTTGTTTCAAAGCACGCATCGCCACATACTCGAGCTTGGAGTCCTTTGAGAAGTATGCCTTGGTGGCTGGCCGTTTGTTGTGGTCGGAGTTGAGCAAGTGAGATTGAATGGTTTTGTTCATTCAAAGGGACTTCGGCGAGGTCTATGACGTAGGAGATCAATGATGACGGACACCCATTTGAACAGGAGACGCAGCGGCACAGCAGCATTGATAGCCACGTCCTAAGGGAGTCACAGAGTCTTGTAGACGAAGATTCCAGGCTCTCTCAGTTTCAACATTGAGTGAAGGGACGATACCATATCTCAATCGGGCGGCTGCTAAATGTTGCGAACTTGTCATCGCACATGAAGTGAACAGGGCTGCTTTGCCTCATTCGGACGCTGTCACGGACCAAGGCCTTATTGTGGGGACCAAGAAACCAGCTAGAAACCATTTCAAAGCAGAAGAGAAAGAGAAGGATCATCAGAAACTTGAACGGCGCAAGAATCTAACCATTATTTGGTACTTTTGTAGAGAGTATCGGTGGAAGACTGACACGATTCATCCTGCAGACGGGCGGCACTGGCCCAAAACAAACTGGCGGGAGAATCGGTTGGCCGCTGCTGAAATTGGGGGGCGTTTGAGGCAGCACAATTATGGTTACTCGTGAAGCTTACTTTGCCCCAAAAACCGCTAGACTCGGCCAAGGGTCCGGATCCTTCGCGCCCAAAAGCAACCCATCTTTGGCGCCGATCTCATCCCACGGAGCTCGTCCATTGGACCACGAGGTCACTTCGGCGGCTGAGTCTCTTCCAGGGGCAGTGCCTTGCTTTGCCGTCATTGCTTGCCTTCCCTCCGAATATTGCACTTTCTGCTGCCAGCACCCGATGCTATTCCAAGATGTTATCGTTATTACGTCGTGAGACTAGGTAGGTACCGGCCAACCTCCCACCTCTTTGCCGCCAGCCCTACCGGCCCAGACGATGGATGGAACGGGCTGGCGTCCAGATTGTGTCTTAGACTTGTGTAGCTTAGCTAGCACATCTACTGCTTACAGCCCCCTCGCGACCCCCTGATCCGCGCGATGGCACGTCTTGTCAATCCTTCAAGTCACTTTCTCCTGCTCTCCCGCCGTCTCTTCTGTCCTTTTCCTTTGTCAATCCCTCTCCGGTCTACAAGCACCTCAAACATTTCTGCCTGCTCTTCCTTGTCACTGTCAACCCGCCCCGGACTACCCGGGTAAATCGCCCTTCAATTTAAGCATCTCCCTTCCCACCTCCGAATCTCAGACGGCCGCCCTTCTCTTGTGTTTGAGATGGCATCTCTGCATCCGCACGACCACTTTTACTCAGGCAGAACAAGCGGTTACAGCAGCCACTCCGTGTCGCCCGAAGCCGAAAAGATGCTCAAGAACCCGCACGGCTCCCCGGGCCCCGAGTCCGGTGCCATTCCCGACGGACTGGAAGTGAATCAAGGCATGGATTTCAACAATGCGCCCCAGCCGTATTATCCCCAGTCGCAGCACCAACCCGCGCCGTACTATGACCACCATGCGACGTCGCCCCAAACGCAGTACACGCAAACAACCTACACGAATAACCACACTCCCGTCGGCGTGCCACCTGCAGGGGAGAAGGGCGACCCGCGTGATGGGAGGATATGCGGCCTACGCAAACCTACCTTCTTCTTGATGCTTGTGTCTCTCTTCCTTCTCTGCGCTCTGATTGCGGTCGCCGGTGCGCTTGGAGCTGTGGTAGCACAGAAGAACTCAGAGCTGGCAAAGTACGTCTCGTCGGCTTTCCTCCATTTATTACAAGAACTAACGTTGTCGCAGAGCCACGGCATCTGCAGCCGCCGGATCATCCAGCACATCCACACCCTCGGGAACAGCCAACGCCGTCCTCGACCTCAGTAAACCCGCCCCAACTGACACGGCTGTCAGGAAGGGTGAATGCGGCACTAGCTCAAGCAAACCGACATGGGAAGTCCCAGGAACGAACCTCACCTTCGAGAAGGATTGCGGCAGCGACTATATCTACAACGACATCGGCAAGGTGCCGACCACAAACATCGAGGAGTGCATCCGACTCTGTGCCGTGTTCAACGTCAACAAGCAAACTGAGCTCGGTCGCTGCGCCGGCATTGTTTATCTCTACAAGGATGACCAAGGCAACGATGACCCGTATTGCTGGTTGAAGTACACCAAGAACACCAACCAGATCTTGTCAAAGGACTACACGGAGTCGGCATGGATTGTATAGCGCAGACGCCTGGTCATGAGATGATGACGATGTTTCTAGACTGTATTATACCCTTTTGCATCAGCGAACGAATAATTGAAGATGATCTGAATGCCCCGCCTGCCTCGTCCATCCACATTGTCCGTGACGACGATCGCCAGTACTTAAACCCCGGCCTGTCCCTGAATGCGCTAAGACCAGGCGAACAAAACCTCAACTTCGCTCTTTCCCAAGAAAAAAGGCGCGCTTGAATGCAAACATATTCTCAAAGGTGCAAAATTCCGGCGCGCTCAACTCGAACTCCTTGGGCATATTCTCAAAATGTTTCAGCAGCAGAGCCTGGAGCTCTCGGTTCTGCTCATCTGTGAGATGTCTCAGCAGGTATGCAACACTGAGATGAAAGCCGTAGCCATCATGTATCGGGTGCCGGATGTTCAGCTTGTCTGCGAGTTTGTTCCGCAAGGATCTGAGTCGCTCCGTCTCGGCCGGCGTGCGCCCGTCAAGCCGGACACCGATGCCGATTTCGAGTGGGTCGAACCCCCTCACCGTCATCTTGTACGGGGGCGCATACTCATCCCCGAGATCAAATGCACCCAGAGCTTTCTCGAACTTGGAGTTGCACTCCTCAAGAGGGGCATCGAGAGATAGATCAGATGGCCAGTATCCGGATTTCCGAACTTGATCACACACGCCTTCGAAGACTGTCATGTGGAAGCTCGTCGGTGGTAGGAGGGTGATCAAAGAGGCGAACTTGCTGGCTGTGAGCTTGTTGCTGAGCTCCTGCATTGAGGCGTAGAGGGGATCGGATGGGGAGAGATGACAGATGATCGTGTTTCCCGGGAAGGCCTGGACCGCCCCGTCGGGAGCGAACTTGCTGGGAACCCCGGCCGGGTACTGGGGGCGTTCGACGTGGGGCTGCAGGTAAGCCATGATGTGTCTGCAGTTTTTGTATGTTTTGTTCGCAACAATATCGTGCTCTGATATTGCAAAGTTGAGATAGTTGCCTAGCTAAGAAAATGAGGGAGGCAAAAACTGAGCTGCGCTTGTTAGTGCATCCTCCGATTGATGGGCAGCTGCCCACGTGGGCAAATCATACGCACAACACGCTGTGGCTGCTGCATGTGGCTGGAGCAGCATTAAGGAAGCTTGTGTGGCATGGATCAGTCTTACTGACACCGCCGTGTCTCGGGTTCAGCTGTCAAGACCCCTCCGGGCCCCGATGGGAGGCCGGCGCCGATTGAAGCGGACGATGGCGGGTGATTCCTAACTAACTTAGGAATTATGTGGCTCATAAGGTGCTATTCTGCACGGGGGCTGATAAGCAACGTTGCGTGCTGACCACCTTATCGCCTACAGCGGCACTTTTGTGTGAAGAGTCATTTGATGACACATATTAAACCACAAGGAACCCTCCGTCGAATGACTGTTCTCTCGCGTTCTTCAACAGAAAAGGTCAACCAGATTCATTGACATTGTGCAAAGAAAGCTTCTTTTGGGCTTACGACAACTCACCTCAGTGCGAAGATTTCGGTCACATAGGCTTGGCATGCAACATGGCGTCCCCATCTGATCTGCCCACGCCCATTCTCGCCCTCTCAAAAAGCATCCTCCGACCGTATCACCCTTCAGATGCGCCATCCGTGGCCAAAGCAGCAAACTCCAAGGCCGTCGTCGTTCATCTCCGCAACCAGTTTCCGCACCCATACACCCTTGCCGACGCCGAGAGTTGGATCTCAATGAACCAGACACCTCCGTACCGCAGCTGGGTCATCATCTGCCCCACATCGGGCCGAGCCATGGGTAGCATCGGTATCATCCCCGGCAAAGACGTGTACTTGCGGGGTTATGAGTTGGGATACTGGCTGGGCGAGGAATTTTGGGGGCAAAAAATCATGAGCGAGTTGGTTCCTGCGTTCGTTAAGTGGATGTTCGACGGAATGGGTGAGGAAAAGGCCTTGGTGGAGAGGTTGTGGGCTGGTGTGTTCTCTGAGAACAAGGCAAGCCAGGCCTTGCTGCAGAAGAGCGGGTTTCAGCTTGAGGGCAGGCTTAGGAAGGCGGTGTTCAAGAACGGTGTCTTGATGGACGAGATGGTATATGCAGTGGTCCGGGATGACTTGACTGCCCGTGGCTCAACATGAAATAAAGAGACATTGTCTTATCATGATTTGGCAGCATCGACCATGTTTATGTATGATTTAAAAGAGTCTTTTATTGATACGTCTTCATGCTCGTAAAAATGTTGATAGAGAGTGCTTTGTAAAGTAATGACACGAATTCAACAGGTCTGTTATCGCTTCATATGGCGCTCCTACAGGTTTGGGCTTTCTGAGCTTTCCCCTAGGTAGAGAACCGGCCAGTGACAGCTTTGGCGGTTGGCTTCTTCTCGAACGCGCTCCAGTCATACCGCTTCAGCGACTCCTCGACACTCAGAAGTTCCTTCTTGTCCTCATCAGTCAAGAGATCCATTCCTTCCACGATCGTAATCCCTTCCCACTTTGGGGGGTAATGATCATGGAGCCATTGAAAGAATTTCCATTGAGAAAGCTGCTCTTGCGCCATGGAACCCCAAAGCTCAATATAGCTTTCGGGAGAAATCTGCACGGCGGCGGTCGACCCCTCTTCCGGAGCAAGACCGGTAGCCCGCCCCCAGGCGGCGAGGTAAGAATCCATGGTCAGAGTTTCCACGTTGCATCGAACAAAGGAACCCGGAGGTGGTGGGCTCTTCACCAGTCTTCGAACGAAGATGCCCCCGTTGATTGCAGGATCCCCAACACATGGGTATGGCGTACTGGGCGGCGTTGGGTACAAACTGACATACTTCTTGGCGCTTGGCTTCAGGTCGGTTAGTACATGTCTTGAAGACATCAAGCCGAGGAGGTCAATTCACTTACCACGTAGATAGGCTTGAAAATGTCGTAGAGCAATGCGTTGTTGGCGAAGACGGTGAAAACGGCAAATGTTGTCTTGGCGGCAAGGTCGGGCATTTCCTGCGTGACATATGTGACAATGCGTCCCTTTCCTTCAAGATGAGGACAGATTGCCTCTCCGTTAGTAATCATGCTTGTGTGAGGCCCGGCACTGAACACGAGTCTTTGAAGGGACTGGTTCTTGGCTGCCGCACGTGCAATTCTCTGGCCCTGGGCAAACTCCAGCTCCAGAGACTTCTCATCTCCCAATTCGAAGAACGTCTCGTAGTAGTCGGTGAATGCAAAAATTGCCGTGGCGCCTTGAAAAGCCTTCTCGAGACTTTCTTCGTCATTGAGATTTGCAGAAACGACTTCGACGCCTTTCGCGGAGAGTGCCTTTGCCTTTTCGCTTGAGGTGTTTCTTGTGGTACCTCTCACCTTCCACCCTGCTTCGTTGACAAAGGCGTTGACAACTCCTCCACCCTGACCACCGGTTGCGCCAATGACCACAATGAGATTAGACATATTTGTGAATGTTAAGATGACACAAAAGAGGTATTCAGTTCATCTATGAGTAAGATGACAGATTCTGTGAGTCATGTACCCTTTGGCATCGCGTCTTCTATATATATATGTATGGGGACTGTAATGAAAGTAGCGATTCCAAAGAGAGTTGGCTTTACGATTGGTACTAAGAACATCAATTGGAACACCAGCCGGTGCATGGAATCCGCCATTCGGTCAAGTATGATAATTCGGACTTCGGGGTAATACCACAACTGGAGCATTCAATGATTTGCCGCATCATCCTTCTCAATCCGCCGATAAATTCTCACAGAATGTGTAGCTGACTTGGTACCAGGAACGGACTATGAATCACGTATACTTCGGCTGTACTTGGTAGACGTGACTTTCGGCAGAGGTGACGGTGGTTATCGGCACTCGGCAATCGTCACATAACCGAGGCGAATTGGCAAGGGACGGGGTTCGCTGGGCCGAAGTCTGTCATTCGAACGCTGCCGCCGACTAAGGGCCCATATCCATATTCTGACACTAACTCAGTCAATGCTATATTCAACCATCGTCATATTCTGAGTCACTGAGGAAATTGTGAAAGATCATTTCAAAGAATGAAGCAGCGAGCTGTCCACCTCCCACTGCCTCATGCGGCCTTCCTCTTGATTCCAAAGGTTTGTATACTCGGGCATGAATCTCATTGTTCATAATAAATTTGGAGTACCCTGAATCTTCAAAATATCTACATATTATGGGAGTGCACTGTCACCTATATGCAGCCAGTCATGGTTTCAAAGACATCGAAATCCATTTCCAGAATGTCCATCAACGAAAACCCGGAGTCTGACACTTGCTCAAAAGGCATGGAATCCGCGGCTCCTACTGCCTGAACTGATAGCTGGTCCAATCGTATTTCCGCTAGACCTAAAATGTCCATATTCTCGCAAAAGCTATGCGGGAAAGGAAACAGCTCATCAATATGTCTGTTGACAGCCCTTGCTACCCATGGGGCGCATGACGCAAGGCCACCATTCTGGTGGTAATTGGCGGAAGGCTCTCTACCCTCAGCATTCAGTTGAAGCCCCTGGATCCTTTTCAGCACCGATCTCGCCCCGCCATACTTGGCGGACATGAGGCGCAGGACGGAGCAAATGCTGTTGACGCCATTATTGCGAATGACTTCCTTCTGTGGCGACTTCGGGCGCTGAAAAATCAACACAATTGCAGCAACTAAAGCCAAGAAGCCATTGACACTGAGCAAGTGGACGGCTTGTTCTCTGCAGTGAATCTCCTCGTACAGATGAGCAACGCAAGACGCTGCCACAATTGAGGCCGGGGACGTCCGCCATGGGGAATGGCGGTCTTTGCTGAGCATCTGAATAAGTATGATCGTCGTCAAATAGTGGATATGTAACTCCGAAGTGAAACGGTGAAATGGTCTTCGGGTTCCGTTTTGGTCGTGAAGCCGCAACTCTTCTGGCAGACCTCGATACCAATTACAAATCGATGCGATTATTCCTTCCACCTCATGCTCAGAGGGAACCCCCTTTTTGGTGTTCAATTCTGCAACACTGCGAGCAACGTTCATCAGTCTCGTGAAATGAAGAGAAACCATGACAGATACCCCTTCAGCGGCGAAGTCTGACGACGCAAGGGGCTGCACGTCACAATCCTCCAGCTTCAGAGAACGCGGGCGGCCCCAACAGGCAACCATAAGTGTTTCGGTATTCTGTGGGATGTCAGTGAAAAGTCTCAGTTAGATGAACAAATGCTTTGTTTGAACTGTAGAAAGAGATGTTGAAGGTGACGTTGGGATCTTCGTTCCAAACCAGAACAAGTGACATGGAACAGAAACCAGATTCATTAAGTAAGAGTAAAAGGGAAGGAGGCACGCACGTTTAAGTACCAGAAGATCCGCCGAAAACATCCGGTGTTTTCATTTTCTGCGTAACTTGACTGCGTATGCACGCCCATTTGTATCGCTAATCGCACTGCCATCCCCGTCCAATGCCACGGCCCATGAAGCGTAACCCGATACGGAGAGGCCGGAGCCCAGCATGACAGAAGGCAGAACGTCTTCAGCAGGGCCATATTATCATCTTCGAAATCGATGTAAAGCAGAGTTTGAATCTTTTCGTAAAGAGAGTAACTCAGTTCCAGGCTGCTGGGATCATGACGCATGAGGCTCCCGACGAGACACACCGCTAACTGAAGCAGGGTCGACGAGTTCTCGTCCGTGAGGTCCTTCGAATCAACAACGGGACAGTAAGGAAGAACATTTTCAATGAAGCTATCCATCAGAGCTTTTCTCAGCGATGGAGCTGGGGGAATATTCGCCTGTGTCGCGCCCAAAATAATACCTCT